CCCCCCGGCCGGGGAGGGGGGCGGGCCGTCGCTGGGGGCTCTTGTAAATGACGAATGCCGTATTTTCTAATCCCGGTGCCGTTTTCTTCAGCGGGCGTAGCGCCAACCTTAAGACACTTCTCAGTTCTGTGTGCGGGAAAAACGTGGACGAGTTTGGCGGGGGGGGAGCACAGAGCACCTCCGTTTGCTCTCCAGTAATTGTGCCTTAGTAACCAAGTGATGCCGTCTCAGCCGACTGACGCTGGTCTTCACCTCAGCCTGCTGACCAATTTTGTTATTGTTTTCCAAGATTACTGTACGTCCAGCAAATTCCACTTTTCAAGTCATGGAGGCAGAACAGATTATGGAGGGACAGCCACAGGTATTGCAAGAAATGTTTTATGTGCATAACACTACATGCATAAAAAGAGCGTTTTCACTTTGCTGACCATGTGTTATTTTACAGGTTCCAGAAAATCCCCATGCTGAATACGGTCTCACTGAAAATGTAGAGGTAACAAAGATTTTGTTGCTGTAAAGTACAGTGGAAGTCACATTCCTCATCAAGGGGAAAAATGTTGAGTCTTGAGTCTAACTTCAGCAAATGTGATGTTCCCGAGAAAGACAGATGGAAACCGAACCAACAGATACCAACCCCTTGCATAACTGGCTGTTAATGTATTTTCTGTTGTGTTGCTTCCATTATACTAAAGGGTGCCGAAGTAAATAATGAACCTTTTAAGGAGGTGGGGTTTTTTGGAAGTATCCTACGATCGCTGTCTATTCTATCACTGTCATGTTACATATAATATATTATGCCTCAAAAAGCCAGCCAGACTTTTATTACAGAGAGGGGAATAGGAGGAGTTGATGGCATTTCTGTAGAAGTGTCAAAGGGAGGGGTTCTTTTCATATTCTTGTCAATAGAAATATTGGATTGGAATAATCCACGCTATCTTTAATTACTTATGCTGAGAAAGAGTAGATGCAATCCATTCCCTCCGCTGTTGGTAACAGCGTGGGTTGGAATATGACATTTATTTACTATTCCTTATTAAAGAAATGCCTTCAGTCTCCCTCCATTATAAGCTCCTACTGTATGCTGAGCTTTTGCAGAAACTTTTCTTAAACGTCCTTTGCGACTCGTCTCCCTGATCACTGCTTCTCTGTATGCTCACCTTCCGCTACAGAACCGTAACACACTGGATACGTTAGTCCCGTATTGGTAGATTCGTGTATGTTGCGTTGAATACGTTTGGTTTACTGGCAGTGGTAGGGTATCCTTTTTTAACTACAGGTAATGGTGTAAGATGATTCAGCACTTTTTGACCAAAAGGCACCTGGAAGCATTTTGCATATGTTTTCTTTAAAGTGTTCATCTATAGTTTAATAGATCGTGGTCTCAAAGTGCTTGATTTTAACAGAGTCCCCTTTGTCAGACTTCACCTGAATTTCTTGTGCTTTTGGCATTTTGTGTAAGAAGTGCATGCATACAGGAACCATTTAATTGAGACCACTACTGTTAATAGTCGTTCCTGTCTCAGTGGTGTAGAATTTAAATCTGCGAATGCAAAAGCAGAAATAAAAATGATAGAGATTGGGTGTCTTCTGTTTTAGAAAACTTATGACTTCCTAACATTGTTTCCCCAAAGCATAGGAATTTAACAGAAGGCTCCTCTGGATTAGGTTTTTGTAGGGGAAAATACGCACTTAAATTTTCTTAAAAGATGTAAAGAAGTTATTGCCAGTGAATTGCAGAGAGATGGGTACTTTGTTTGCACTCACACTTCAAAGTAGATGTGGCTGCTATTACCAATGTTAATTCACTTTTTCCCCCCCCACACACTTCAGAGGATAGTAGAAAATGAGAAAATAAATGCAGAGAAAACATCAAAGCAGAAGGTGGATCTTCAGTCGTTACCCACACGTGCCTACTTGGATCAGACAGTCGTACCTATCTTGCTACAGGGACTTGCTGTTCTTGCAAAAGAGAGGTAAGGTACTTCCACATTCCTTTGGTTCTTAGGAAAAAAAGTAGGTCTCAAACTTGGGTGGTGTGTCACCTTTTCAGACCTCGCACACCAGACATGGTTTTGCTAGTTTGCTAGTTTTAAGAAAGTCATTACAACAGGTTTATGAACCTATGAATTACTATGATTGACCATGCAGGACGTGTTCCTCACTTAGGTGCATATGGCGTGATAAGAGTTATTTACTGAATTTGTGATCTCCCAATGAGGTATGCTACTGCAAAGGTTTTGGGGGGAAAAATTTATTTTTTTATTAATTTTATCACATAAATTCACCTTATAGAAGCAAGGCGAGAAGTTGTTCTAGTTTTGAAGAAGATTTTTGTAGTGTGGAATTATAGAGAGTTCTGCTTGCCATCTAATAGAAAGACAGACAAATCGGGCCTCACATGCATCGGATGTTGCATGTGAGAGATGTTGCAGATTGGAGATTACCAACACTTTCTAGTGTTGGAGATTAAAACACTTTCTAAAGGGTGAGGCTGACCCTGCACTGTCAATGCAATAAGAAGCAAACTGATAGTTTATCCTTTGAGTAAAGATTATGCTGTGAAGGTGTCCCAAATCTCTTATCAGTCAATGTAGAAGGGTATTCTTCAATAATAGCAAACAGTTGTTCATCTTACCCGAATTAATTTCTAGCCTTTTCGTGTATCCGAACTATTGGTGAGTCATGGTGCATGTAGCCATTTCTCAGTTTTGCCAAAATAACATTATCAAAAGCTGGTACGGCTGACCATCATCGCATCACGGTACCTACAGCCAGAACAACCATCAACAGTGTCTTAACCTCAAAAGGAGCTGTGAATTTGAACTGCATTGTACAGACAGCTAATTAGGCAAAAGAGCATCTAGGAAGGTAACACCCCGTATGTACACCTGAGCAGTGTGCAGATCTTCAGTTGACGTCTGTGGGAGTTCTGCTGCAGACTGAATGTAAAACACGGCCTGAGGTGGATACCCCACACTTACAGTCTGGATACTTGTGTTACAGACAAACGTGGTTTGGTTTGGTTTTTTTTTTTTTAAAATCTTTCTTCACTACGGAAGGAGCTGTTCTGTATGGGGACTCATCACAGGAGTGAAACTGGAACATGGATAGAAGAGGTTGGGGAACATATAGGAAGAAAACCTAACAGTATCAAACCGCCAAGGTCAAATGGGCTATTCAGTTGAGCATAATAAAACCTCAGGGGTGAAAAAGCTGAACTACCAGCTCTGCTGTATAATCTTCTGCTTAAAATTGAACTGGAAAGTAACTAATGGATGCTAATTTCTTTTTCTAAGGAATATAGAGATGTGCAGGGAACAGCCCAGTACATCTGATGACTGTGCCTGGAATTCAGTAGAAATTACCATCCAGGATAGTGAGCATATGGATAAATGACGTATTTGGGAGGAGTCAACACCACTGTTGTCAGGTCTTGTAAGTCTTTTGGAGTTCACTGATGGAGTCAGTGAGCACATGTAAACAGGAATCCAGATGATACAGCCTGTTTAAATTTCCAAAAGGTTTCTGGCACAGTCATTCAATAAAAGCTTTTAAAGAGAGTTAGTTGCTGTGGGATTAAAGGAAAAGCCTTTATATGGACGAGGAACTGACTGCAAGACATGAGACAGAGAAGAAGTAAATGGTGAATTTTCATGGTGAAATGAGCTCAATACTAGAATTCTGGAAAGGATCATTTATAGCAATTTGAAGAAGTGGCTGACAAAATTTGTTAATGATACTGAGTTTTACAGAATAGGTTGGGGGTTTTTTTTGTGTCTTGTTTTCTGTTTTTTTTTTTAAGTTGATCGATTGTAAATAATTGCACAGGAAGTTCATAAACTCAATGTGAAACTATGGAAGACTGCTATGAAAAATTGAAGCTATGACAAAAAGTGAAAGACTGAATACAAATAAAGAGAAAATTATGCACCTAGGAGGGTAATAAATACCCTAATGCTAGTGACAAAATGATAAGATTCTGAGTTGACAATTACCCTTGTGAAAAAATATCTCTAAACTGTTAAATGTGTACGTCAGTGCATTGCTCGATCAAAAATAAATTCTGAATGGTAGGACTTAGAAATTGAAGAGGTAAAAACAAGCATAATGTCACTAGTTAAATTTATAATGTTCTTGTATTTTTAATATTGTGTGTAATTCGAATTCCCCTGTATTCCGGTAGAATGTGGAAAAGTAAGAGGAGTGACAAGGTGGTCGGAAGTATGGAATGCCATCTGTATACGGAGTGACTGAATAGATGATACCTAGAAAAGAGACTTCTGTGAGAGAATATATTAGGAATCTGTTAAATCACAAATAGCACAGAGAAGATGAATTGGGATGGATTGTTTATTATCTCTTCTGATACAGTAATCAAATTAAGCGAAGCAGGTACCAAATTCATAATGAACAAAAGGAGGTGATCCTTCACAGGTCACATAATTCAGCTATATAATTTTTTGCCTCAGGTTGAGGACATTCACATTTTATTTGGGCTCAAGGGGCAACTGGTCAAAGTTGTAGAGGAATTCCCCCAGGACTACTAAAGGTGCTAGGTCAGAAAGCTGGTACGTGCTTGGAAGCCAAAAGGATGGTCCAGAGAAGTATCTCTGCGCACTTCTTCCCTTTTTTTTTTTTATGCTCTTTATAGGCGTATTTGCTCACTGCCGGACCTTTGGTCTGACCCAGTGTGGAATAAGTAAGTTTGTCATTTATTCTGCGGACAGAATCCAGATTAGCAGGATTCACGCACTGTAGCTGGAGGAGCTTTTTAAAAAAACCTTACGGAATAAGGCCAGTGATCAAAAGTGTTTATTATTGACTACTTGCAAGTTACAGCACTTCTCAAACCTGAAGTTTTTGTTGTGTTCATTTCAGTTGACAGAAACCATGAAAACAGCTCTGATGCACAAAGCTAGACAATAACCATTTGAAGAAAATGAAGCAAGAAAGCACTGACAGATTAACTTTTACTTTATATAGCATGAGTTAAATAAACAGCCAAATGCATGTAACTTCCAATGACGTACATGCAGTATTTACGCTTACAGACTATACCCTAGTTCTAGGTATGTAACTGTTCTAGCAATTTAGTAACATTGAGCCAACGGTGACTGAGATTCCTTATTAAGAACTTTCTCATCAGATATAAACTGGAAATTTACAGGGTAACTCTAGGTAGTTGGTCATCCCTAAATCAATGCTTATAAGTGTTTGGGAGGAGTTATGTTGCCTTTAAGGGAAGGTGATTAGTTCTTCAGCTACCTAATTTCATACAACAAAAAATAATTGCTTTTGATTTACTTTTTTCTTTACAGACCGCCAAATCCCATTGAATTTCTAGCAGCGTATCTTTTAAAAAACAAGTCACAGTTTGAGGACCGAAATTAACTCCATAAAAATGAGGACAATTTGGCTGCTAGACTGAAATGCTCATTTGCCGCAATCTGTTTTCTGCTGTAAAAATCCTTTGGAACCATGATGTTGTCTTTCTTAATCGCATAATTTGCTTTATCTTTTCAGTTATTTAATAAAGAACACTTTACATTTAATTTGTTCACTTGTTTTAAACTAGCTATTAAGAGACTTTCAAAATAAAGTACTGAAACTGCACTGCTGGATGATAGTCTGAGTAATTCCATGGGGCTACAACACCTGAACGCATGCAACAAAGGGGAACAATTTATTATGGGAATCACATGGGTGATAATGTATATAACTTAATTTGATTTTATGTAGCACCCTCCACAGGCAACATGCCTAAACAGAAAGCAAACAAATTAACAGCAGTTAGAATTTATTTTGAGAAGTATTAATTAAGTAGAGAGAACTTGCTTCAGAACACCAGGAAATGGGTTTAGTTAAAACAAACAATTAGATTCAGCAGCTGAACAGATCACCTGAAGACAGTGTCCAACATTTCAGACATTTACATTAATGAGGTGTGCTGTTCGGCATTTGTCATTGATCTCCTGTGACTTGTGTGCTGGATTTAACTGAAACACAGAATAAAGTTTGAAGGGACTTAAAAAGGTTCTGTAATTCAATTCTCTGTACTGCTACCCCTAGTTGGAGCGTTTTCTCTTGTCAAAGATAGAATCGTAGAGTATCTCAAGTTGGAAGGGACCCATAAGGATCATCGAGTCTAACTCCCTGCTCCTCGCAGGACTACCTAAAACTAAACCATATGACTAAGAGCATCATCCAGACGCTCCTTGAACTCTGACAGGCTTGGTGCCGTGACCACTTCCCTGGGGAGTGTGTTCCAGTGACTGACCGCCGTCTCATTGAAGAACCTTTTCTTAATGTCCGAGACAATCCTAATTTACCCAGTAAAATACCAAGTATTCTGATTTTTTTTTCCCCTTGGGTTTACTAACACGTCTTTTTTTTTGTTTGTTTTTCCCATCCTTAACATCTTTTTCTGACCCCTTGTTTATTCTTCCTGTAATCTCAGTAGGGGTAAAGGCCACAGACCTCAGAGTACAATATAAGAAGCTACAACAGAAGACCGGGGATCAGAAGAAAAAGCTAGAATTAAGACAGTAAACAACGCGTTGTGGAAAAAATACTAGCAAAGCTCTGAAAATGTGAATATTGTAGCTGGAGAACTGGCTCGCTAGGTTATTGGCAATGGGTACAGGGACTAGACACAGCCCTCAGAATTCCTATTTTTGTTTTCTGAAACTTGTAACAAGGGGCATAATCAATGTTGTTCACTAGCAGTGGATATTGGAATCCAGATTAAGCATAGCCCAGTTTTTAATAGACCAGGAGAATGACCATAATTTGTTTGACAGTCACAGAAATGGTAAACTTGGCTTCCAACAGTTGCTCAATTAATCAAAATCCTGTATTTTTATTCAAATAAACTTCAATATTGCCATCTTGCCATTCCCATCTCCATTCTGTGTTTCTTAGCTAATTGCTTTAACATAGCAAGCAGTTAAAATCTTGTAAATTAAATCCTTTGCTGC